GAGCATCTATGGAGAAAGAAAAAGTGAGTCAACGTTTCGGGTCCACGACCCTTCGTCGGAACTGGGGCATGTTAGGAGGGAGAGGCTTTTAAGGGCTAACAGAGAGGGGGGAGGCAGGACAAGGAAGACAAAGGAGAAAATGGGGTAGAGGGCAGGGGATGATGGGTTAAAGAGGTGTTAATGATGCAAAACAATGGGGGGGATTGAAACAAAATCTCCCCATGCCCCCAAGACGGACTAATTAAAATCCTTTTGTTGGGCGTCTCTTTGGAGAAAAGGACCATTGACCTCTTGGGCCATCAACTTTTATATAGATGTTCCAAGAAGCATGAACATCTATTCTCTTTCCCTCTCCCCTGAGCTAATTCTCATTGGGTTCTCACCGAACCTCCACATTATTATTAATAATAATAATTAATAATCCTCGCATTTGATACAGCGCCTTATCACATCATTGAGACGTCTCAAAGCGCTTCACAGGATACACTGTAAAGTGGATTGACTGTTTTTTGGGCGAAACTTGGCAGCCACTTTCACGCAGCAATGTCCCACAAACAGCCATGGAGTGAGTGACCAATTTAATTTGGGGGATTGTTGGCCAGGACACCGGGAGAGAGAGAAACTCCCTTCTCTTTCCGAATTCGTACAGTGGGATCTTTAACATCCACCTGAACGGGCAGACGGGACCTCGGCTTAACGTTCTCATCCAGTAGACACCCCAGCACTGCATTGGAACGTCATCTTAGATTCCAAGCTCACCCCCATCTGTGTGTATCCTGCCCCACCCACTCACCCTCACACCCCTCCCCTGGGTGACGGGTGGAGGTGACTAGACACCGCGCTGGTTTTTATTGCATTGAATCATGAATCTGATAATAATTAAAAAAAGAAGTTAGTCCTCGCTTGCTCGCTCCCACTCTCCCTCCCTCCCACTCTCCTTCCATCCCTCCCTCCCTACCACTCTCCTCCATCCCTCCCTCCCTCCCTCCCTCTCCAAGATTGCCTTTGTGTCGTCGTTGCTGGACTGTGATAAGCCGTTGATCCGGCTTCATTCTCTTAAATCCCCTCCTAGCACGAAAAAAAATTCTGATTGAGGACCAACGGCCCTCATGTCACCTTAGAAACACCCCGCACCCCCCTCAACTTATCCTACTCCCCTCTCCCCCCACTTTCCTCTTACCCCTTCTCTCCTCCCCCCCACCCCCACCAACTCCGTGCCCACGACACTCTCCGGAATCCTTCACCCCCTGACTCTGCTGACACAAAGCCAGGATCAGCCTCTCTAATCCCCGGGCTCATTAGCTCGGATTCCGACGCGCTTTGGCTGACAGATTTCTTTCCTCTTCCTGAGCAGATTTCACCACTTTACACTGTAACGAGCAAAGAGCAGATCGATACCAACGTCGCTTTTATTTCCCTCCTCTCCTTCAGTCCGCGACTGCGCGGCCCCCACCCCCCTCCGCACCTGGAATTCCGCCTGTTCTCAGCCCGTGGGACCTATTCTGGCTTAAAATTCAAGGCGGCCCGGAATTGTACCGAAGCAATGCAGAGTTTCTCACAGGACGAGTGGGAAGGATGTGACCAGGCAGGGGACGTACAGGGTGTTCACAAAGTCTCGTTACTGTTTTTTTTTACACACAGACACACACAGTGCACTGAGCAACAACTGAAAGATGTGCAAGAATGATGATAATTGATTTCACTACAAGTGCTTAACTGTACTTACACGTCCAGGGGATCAGTGCGAGTGAGCTCCGTCCTTTTTACGGAAGATAATGATCCGTCGCCATTAGCACAGCTTGTTTCAGTCTCGTATTACTGTGTTGTAATGGGTTGTGGTGGGGGGTAACAGGACTTTGTAGACATCCTGTAGTTATAGGATACAGCAAAAGGAGATATTTTTACGTAGGAAAATATCTCCTTTTGCTGTATCTTATAACTACAGGAAATATTTTTTTACGTACTCTAGAGTTGTTGGGCTACGGAATGCCCGGCCGATCAAGGAGCTCAGAGGTGTCCATGGTGGGTTTCAAGAGGGAAGTAGACAGGTATATGAAGGACAGAGGCTTGAAGAGGAAGGGGACAGGTCAGGGTAATGGGATTGAGAGGTGGATAGTCAGGGTAACAAGGGATATGGAGCAAAAGCGAGTGATTGGAGTTGAACTACAGATCAGCCATCGTCTAATAGAATGGTGGAACAGGCTCGAGGGACTGAATGGCTTACGATGTAAGCCTCTCTTACTGTTCCTGTGAGGGAGAGAGTGAGGGAGGGGGCAGGGGGGGTGGAGGGAGAGAGAGTGAGTTGGAGAAGGGGGAAGAGAGATTGAGGGGAGGAGAGGGTGGGAGCGAGAGTTAGAGAAAGGGGAGAGGGATTGAGGGGGGAGGGAGAGAGGGAGGGAGAAAGAGTTAGAGAAGGGGGCGAGAGATTGAAGGAGGGGGCGAGAGATTGAAGGAGGAGGCGAGAGATTGAGGGGGAGAGAGATTGAAGGAGAGAGAGTTAGAGAAGGGGGAGAGAGATTGAGGGAGGGGGAGTGAGGGGGACGAGGTGGGAGGCTAATGTTCAGAGGTGCGAGCAGTCTGCCTCGAAAGGTCATGGCTGTCGCGGTTTCCCGTTTGAGTGATGACGGTCGGTCGTCACGGCGATGTGTACGGCATGTACACAGGAGGCTGAGCCAATGTTCAGTGAAGCCGGTCTCATGTTCCCGGAGCGTGGCTCTCCCCCCTCCGCCCCCCCCCCCTCCCCTCCCCAACCCGCTCTGCCAGCACTCTTCGAGGGTGAGGCTGACGTGTTACATGGCGCTGGTTGATAATCAATAAGGAGCTGGGTTCAGGCAAGCTCCTCCTTCATCCTAATCGACCACATGCGTGTGTAGTGTGTACGCGCGCACACGCACGTAGACCCAAGTCACACACAAGCTCGCTACACACACACACACACACTCAAGTCAAATGCACATGCACCGCACACACACACACACCCGCGCGTGCTCAGACAGTTACACGCCCACACAGGTGACGCGCACACACAACGCATTCGCGAGCGCACACACACACACCCACACGCGGGCACCCAAACAACTTGCATTAATCCAGCGCCGATCATGTAGGGTAACGTCTCAAGAGAGTAGAGACACGGAGAGCGTTAGACCCCGAGCGAGGGGGGAAGTGGGGGAGGGGAGGTGACCACAGGCGCTTTCGAAGAGGTCGGGCTTGAACCAGGACCTGAGGCCAGAAAGTCGCATCAAACGTACGGTCGCAACTGCTACCAATTCTGTGAGGTTTACTGCAGAAACCGTTGAGGCCTGTGGAACATACAAAATAAATCTTCTCAACAGAAGGCAAGATGTTGAAGACCACCCAAAGCTCCCAGCGCACAGCTCCAGCGGCTCCGAGTCTGCCCACCACCTCCCGCTGGACTTGGGGGCTTGGGACAGAAGATGAATAGTGTGTGCGCACCGTCCCTGGGCTCCACGTTGCGCCAAACTGCATTTTTTTTTTTTTTGTGCGCGCAGAAAAGAGATTAATCTCGAGGCCTTGAGAATGCCGGGTAGCAGCAGATTGCTGTGTGTGGTGCAGTCAGTTCAGTAAAGGCGCAGGAATTAACTGCTAAAAATTGCAACTGGAAATGCACACTGTGCGTCCATTCTGTTCAATTTAAAAGGGACGTGCGTTTGGGGATGAAGGGGATGAAGGGGATTAAGCGCTCTGGGACGCTACCTTGCATGAGGGGCGGTGTATAAATGCAAGTCGTTGTTGGTTGTTGTTGTTTGTTGTTGTTCGTTGCTGTTGTTTGTTGTATGTCCAACTTAAAAGGCATGTGCTTTGTGTGTCCATCTTAAAGGGGATTTTAGCGATCCGCCAGTCGACTAACAAGCGGGTTCCAACTTACTGCTCGGTAAACCGAGGCGTGTGGCGTCAGGAAACTTACCTAAGGTTTCGCGCCACCCGAGAATTAAACCCAGGTCCTCTCGCTTGCCAGGCGAGCGCACTAAACACGACAGGGCTCCCATATATTGGATAGCATCTCGGAGTGCCGCACAATAAAGTACAGGAATGAGGAGGGGGAGCGGGGCTGGGGGTGAGGACATGGAAATAGAGCCCTTCCCCACCCCCTTCCCTTATTGTGTGGCTCAGTTTCACGGGCTGGGAGAAGCTGGAATTTTTTTTATATAAAAAAAACTTTGGGGGATTCTAGTCACAATCAAGGAATTTGCCTCAAATGAAATTCACGTCCCGTATCGATGGGGTGAAAATTCTCTCTCCGTCTCTCTCTCTCTCGTTGCCCAGCTTCAGGGTGGTTTGTGAATCTCTTCTGCCCCCCCCCCCCTCCCCCGCGCCCCCATTCTCATTCTGCTCCTCATTTCGGAAAGGGGGGCAGAGAGAGAGCGAGAGATAGAGAAGAAAAAAAGAACATGGGACAGGCAGCCAGAAGACTGGATTGCTCCTCCAGTATTTTCTGAATTGCGGGGAAAAAAATGGTCCTTTGAGATTTCTCCCCTTTTGTTCTCCATCCTCTTCTCCCCACACCCCCCATCCTTGCTCCCCCTCCCCCCATTCTCACTCCACCCCACCTATCCTCACTCCCCCTCTATCCTCACTCCCCCTATCCTCACTCCCCCACCATCCTCACTCCCCCCCCCACCACCATCCTCACTCCCCCTCCCCCACCCTATCCTCTTCCCGAACGAGCCCCATCTTGCTGCAATTGGCTGGGGAGATGAAGACCACTGTGTGCCTCGGGCTCCAGGTATCAGGTATCAGCTGTGTGTGTGTGTGTGTATAAACCCCATCTGGTTTCACTCTACATCGTCAGTCAGCACCGCTCCCATGTGGTTTACGCAGCCGTGCGTTAGCGTATCAGAAACTGAGAGAGAGAGAGAAAGGGGTGAAACTGCCCTCTCTTTCCTACCCCCACCCCTACCCCTCTCCTCCGCTTACTACGCCTCCCCCTTTCCTCTCCCCCCAACCCCCCCACCGCATTTTTAATAAAAACTCCCAGCTTGTAGAGAGGTCCAGCACACTGCCTGGCTGACTGGTGATTGATGTGGTGGAACCTCGCTCCACAGTGCACACAGGATAAGATGCAGCATTTGTTCTCGGGAATACTTTGCAAGTGATTACGGCGGTGTTAAAGGAAGCCCTGGCCAGGGGAGGACTGTTTCGGGAGGCCGTGTCGTGCGGGACACTGGGATCTATCCACACATGGCAGGAATGTGTAGTTAAAAAGGTAGCCAGCTCTCTGTCTCTCTCTGTGTCTGTCGCGGTCTGTCTCTCTGACTGCTTGCGGTCGATACCCTTTGCACTCAGAACACCATTGTACACAGGCAGGTAAGAGAACGGCACAGTGCAAACAACGGGGTGAGGGGTTGATTTTTTTTGGGTGGGGGCGGTGGGTGAGAGACAGAGAAAGAGAGTTCCTGAGGTCAACTGTGGTTCCTCTCAACCTGGTTTCAAGTTTGGTGGCTTCCATTTGGGAAAGAGCTTGTTTAAGAGCTTACGAGACAGAAGGTGTGTGTGTGTGTGTGTGTCAGTGTGTCAGTGAGGTTTACAGAGAAAGTCTCACTCCTTACCGCGATCAATAAGATCAGTAATGCTTTCCAAACAACTTTGTCCGTAACACTTGAGCGGGTTCTCTCTTTAATGTCTTGCTCAGAGCATTGCTGGCTGCAAACTCCTGTTGTTTTGACGAATGTGGCATCTTATTTGTGGTTTAATTCATCTGCAAAACAGGGAAACTATTTCCTCTGGTGGGTGGCGGAATCCAGAACAAGTGGGGGGGGGCATCATCTTTAAATGAGAGTTAGGCCATTTAGGAGTGAAATCAGAAGGCACTTTTTCACACAAAGGGCAGTGGAAAGTTGGAGCTCTCCCCCTCCCCCCCAAAAAGCTGGATCCATTCACATTTTCAAGACTGAGGTGGATAGATGTTTGTTAGGTCAGGGTATCAAGGGATATGGAGCAAAGGCGGGTAAATGGAGTTCAGGTACAGATCATCCATGATCTAATAGAATTGCCCACAAAATATACAGTCAATTCACTTTACAGTATATTCTGTGAAGCGCTTCGAGACGTCTCAAAGACATGAAAAGGCGCAACATCAAATGCAAGGATTATTATTATTATTATAACGGCGGGACAGGCTCAAAGGACTGAATAGCCTACTCCTGTTCCTGTGTTTGTAAAACAAACAGTCACTGCACTTTACAGTAAATCCTGTGAAGCGCTTTGGGACGTCCTGCCAACGTGAAAGGCCCTGTACCAAATGGAAGGGTTATTATTACTATTGATAAGAATGGAGAACATAACCAGACTCCAGTTAAATCTGATGTCCTACAATTAACCCTAGTGCCCACCGCCCCATCTTCTTCACCCCCCCCTCCCCTCTTCTTCACCCCCCTCCCCTCTTCTTTCCCAATCTATTCCAGGTTTAGAGAAAGGGAGAATCAGCCAGAGGTCCTTCTCCCACTTGCTGAGGGAAGCTAGACGGAATTAGTAGAAGGGAGGGAGAGAGAGAGAGAGGTAATGTTATGTGAGGATGAGATTGTTCCCCTGTTCTCTCTCTCTCTCTCCCCCCCCCTCCCCCATCGAATGCCATCAATCAAACCGACTGCCCACACTCAAACCTCGTAGATGAACAACCCCCCTCTTGGGGGCTGAGTAATACCAATAGAAAGCACCTGGGGGGCTAAACACTTAACCTTCGCCCCCCCCCCCCCCAGAAGAAGAAAGAGAGAGGAGTCAAATATGCCTTGAGGAGAGAGAATTGCTGGTTGAGATGGGGGAGGGGAGGGGGGGTGGGGGGCGAAACACCAGTCACAGTCCATGGTGCAGTGCCAGACACCCAGCAGCAGCAGTAATTGCAATTAGAAGTTAAGTGCGAGGAGATAATTAAGGAGCCGTTTGTCAGGACCTCCTTAAACCGCTGAGAAAGCCGCAGATCCCGTCGTTTCTGGGTTTAGACGACGTGCGCGGAGACCGATGGGCATCAGGCTCCGGGTGGCAGGGGGTGACCGGGGTGAGGGGTGGGGGGGGTGGGGGGCGCTGACTGCCCAGGGTAGCCCAGCATTTCACACGCAGATCCACTGACCCCGCAAGTTAACCCCTTCATTGCCAGGCAACAACGCATTCCTGTCCGATCCACACTGCCTGAACCATTTAAATAAACAGCGCTTTTTATTTAACGGTAACTTATTTGTTCGCCGTTACTGGAGGGAGGGAGTGGGATGATGGGGTGGGAGGGAGATTTTTCTATTTTATTTTCTTCTCTTTCCCCCTACACCCCCCCTCCGCCCCACCCCTCCCTCCAATCTCCTCTTCTCTGCTTCGCAGGGGCGCAAAGAACAAACTTGTATCTCACACAAAAATGTTCAGTTATCCAGTTATTTCCTCCCCACTCCCACTCCCGCTCCAGCCCCTCACCCCACCCTAAAAAAATTACCCCTGACCTTTGAATCAGGCTCCTGGCCCACGTCAATCCCACATGTGCAGAACGGTGCCTTGTATTGTACCTTTCACATAGAGGGATGTCTCAAAGAGCCTTACGGAGGGGTGGGTGTGGGAGTGGGAGGTCGAACTAGGTGAGGCGATGGGGGATGGTAGTCAAAGAGAATGGCTCTTAGGAGCCCGGGGGGGCTGACGAGCAGGGCAGGATATTTTTTGGTCAGCTTGTGTCTGACACACACACAGACACACGCTTAAGAGTACCCAAACCAGATAAGTTCCACACATGAACCAAACGCAAAATACCGCAGATGCTGGAAATCAGAAACAAAAACAGAAGTTCGCTGGGAACACTCAGCAGGTCAGGCAGCACCTATGGAGAGAGGACAGTGAGTCAACGTTTCGGGTCCACGACCCTCCATCAAGAACGGACCCGAAACATTGACTCACTTTCCTTTCTCCATCGATGCTGCCTGACCTACTGAGTGTTCGCAAGTTCCATATAAGTGTGTTACCTACATGCGGACATTTCCCTGTGTCTGGAATGGAATGAACACTCTGCCCCCAGAGGGATGAATCCCGTTTACCAGATTCCAGGGATCATTAGCCACTGGTCAACAAGAGCAAAGGTTTGGGGATCTCAAAGTGCATTGGGGTAATTGTTGGCGTCTGACTGGCTCAAACCACATAACGTGCCATTGAGAGCACCGACTGGCAAGCTTTCCCGCTGCTTGTCCAGCTAGGATCAACTGATCCGTTAGGGCTTTGCTGGGTTATCAGGAGCTGAGTGGGACCAGGAGAAGGTCAGATAAATATGGTGATACAAGGCCGTGGAAACAATAATGAGGAAATAAATGGAAGTGGTGATGGGGGCGGAGGGTCAGCCGGGCTGAACGAGCCTGGCCTCAGTTGGCTCAGCCTGAAGGAGTTTCAATGATGAACTGTTTGCTTCCCTTGAAATAGAAAATTCATAGGGAAAAGAGCTGGAGGGATTTCCTTACCCTGTCTCCCAGGGGAAATCTCTCCCTTTATGTTCCTGTTTTCAAGCGAAACAGGTTATTAAGCAGGGGTTAGACTAGACCATCTGTGTTGGGTGACAAGCAGAAATTTATCATCCTCAGGCCTACGGTCAGGTGTGATGTGTTGGTCGGAGCGGGATGTGCTCAGAGCTGAGGCCCGTCTCAATGGTAAGGGCCGCTTTGACCAGTTATTGTCTTTGTTCTGCAGCAAAGGGCTTCTGAGTAAGAGAGCAGAACGAGCGTGTAATATAATGATAATAATACGCCTCGCTTTTGATATCACGTCCCACCACCTCTCGTCGAGATGCCTCAAAGCAAATTCACAGTCGTTTACTGCAGTGTGTGGTGATTGTTTACTTTGCGGGGAAATGTGGCAGCCAAATTGCCCCTAGTGATGTCCCACAAAGAGTCATGAAGTGAATGACTGATTCTACCTGGGGGATGGTTGGCCAGGATACTGGGAGAGAGAGACTTCCATTTTTATTGAATAGCGACATACAGTCTTTAACTTCAGCCTCAATAGACAAACAGAAACTTGGTTTAACATCTCATCGGGCAATACAGGACTCCCCCCCCCCCCCCCCACAGCACTGTACTGCAGTGCCAGTATAGACTGTAGCCTTTCCTTAAGGATCTGACTTTCAGTTTGCTCGTCTTAAAGGCACAATCCTGACCAGGTAAGCTGTGGACTGAAATGCCAGTGTGCAATGATATTCTGCTTATCTGTTGAAGCTTATAGCATTGGGACCAACTATTTATTATTCCTCACTTAACTGGATCTTGTGATTAGGAGACTTTCCGTCTCAGTTGGTTGGCTGTGGACACAAAGCAACAGAGAGATAGATCAGTGCTCTAGAGCCCATGAAATGATTTGCTCAGTGACATCTCACTGTATGGCACAGCTGGACACAGTGGAAATGGCTTACAGCACAATAGAAATGACATTACACAGCGCCTTTTACGTCAGGAGGACGTCTCAACGCGCTTCACAATGCTGAATGGCCAACCGAGCTGGGAGCGGGAGATGAGAGGGAGAGGATTAGATACAGTAAAACTCGTCGAAATTCCTATTATTAATATGTTTGACGTTACTTACACTTTGCACGTCATACTAAATGTACGGGCCCAACTGTGCTGCTGCATTTGGCCCACAAAATATAGTCAATTCACCTTAAAGTATATCCTGTGAAGCTTTTGAGACGTCCCAAAGACGCGATAAGACGCTATATCAAATGCAAGCATTATTATTATTATTATCCGATACGTGTGAGATTCACTGTATGAATTACTTAAAATGACCTCTTGGGAAATGAAAGCAAAGGCTTTGGAAATTGGGTTTGATTGTACCAGGCCGCCCCATACACAGCACACGGGTTTCCTGAGCCCTCGCGTTGGCAGGGGTTAATGGTCGGTTGGTCAGCTTGGCTTTACCCTGTCAGAAAAGGGTAACTTCCGAGTCAAGCGTGTAACTTTGCGGTGTTTTTGGCCCTCCGCAGCCGGGACGTGCAGATTCGGGCTCCTGGTTTATCTCTGGGGGTCTGTCAGGCCTCCTCGGTCTGAGCTGAGAAGCAGCAGCAGGACTTTGACATTGCGTGAGAGGAGGGTATTGATATGGTAATGGTCAGGGCTGATGAATGGCCGAGGCCTGGCCAGAGGACGGAAGCAAAGCCTGGTCCATTCATCAAAACCCTGACAGCAACGATTGCAAACCCTTCAGTATTTTCTCTTGTGAAGCAATAACAACGGTAATAATAATCCTTGCGTTTGG